TGCCAACATTGAAAAACGAACCCCCCCCCCCAATAGAAAGCTGGCTACGGGCCTGTGAAATAGTGACACATCCGCAGATAAACACATCGTAAATACATGTAATGTTATGTGTAGCCCGATGTGCCTCCGAGGCTAACATCAATACACATTAAGATCTTTCGATGTATGACCTTTCCTGGGGCTGGTGGGGTGGATGCCATGACAATGGCTTGAGTGAGCAAGATGGTTATTTGCATGGAAATTTGGACTCCGATATATGGCAGGTATAATGATTGGCATATTGCTGATTAAATCGGTTTTAACTAGTGAGTTTAGATCAATTTTAATTGCTATGTTCTACTTTCACAGTTGAGTCCTTGTGAAATCTACTGGGAACAGTATAAAGAGTGCACAAGTAAGTGGAATTTTTGTACCCGACTTGGGCTTTGCTTCATTGCAACTTCTGGCTGTACATCTATTTCCGAAAATACAAATCAACTAACTGATAACCAGTGGAAGAAATAAATACTCAATTTAACTAGGTATATGTACAACTGTTTCTGCGGACTTCTTTTATTATCCTTAACCGCAGTAATAATACCGGCCTTGCTTTATAATTCAGTAATAATTCAGTAAAACGATTTATTGTAGTAGCTGCGTGTTATCCTATTAGCATAATAGGATTGTGCTATCGTGTCTAGGATTGTGATAGGATTGGATTGTGCTAGGATTGGATTGGATTAGTCTAGGATTGTGCTATTGATCTGTTATTGTGCTTCCCAGGTGTACGGGGCAAGTTCCATCAGTATTTCATTCATGGACAGCAGGAGGAGTGTGGGCAGTGGAAGAGCGACTACGACAACTGCATGAAATGGAAGAAAAAAGAAAACAAAGACGCACTGGTAACAATATCACGCAAATGTCGTTCATTCATGTACTCGCCATGTCCTAAAAATTGTCCTAAAACGATCTCGCCTTCAGTTGGTATTGAAATCATTGCGTATCTGTATCATTAATCATCATTACGAAAGTTTTATTCGCGTCAAAGTGGAACGCACGCTCGGCGATTCCCCGTATGTGTTAATCCCTCGTGCGTATTGATGCTAGCACTCTTTCACCGCTCCATATAGCTGCCTCTGACATTGAATTTAATAAAGACAATTTATCAATGAATAAATTCGTAAATAAAGTTACGTAGATAACCGAATAGAAAATTATTAAACTAACTAAAATATTATTAATCATATTATTATTAAATTACCAATAATTATTAAAAAAACTATTGATAAATAAATAGAATAAATAAATGAATGAATGAATGAATAAATCGATCGACGAACGAGCGTAGGCGACGTCACCTCGCATGTTTCTCACACCCCCCGCTTCTCCTTCCCCGTCTCCAGGGAGAGGTCCTCGGCAACGAGCGGCGACGGCTCGGCGACCGTCTGCGCGCGTCCTACGCCAACGACGTCTGGGAGCTGCGCGACGGGCCGCCGGCGACGTGGGCCGCGCCGCTGCCCGCCTGGCTGCAGCGCGAGAATGAAAACACCTACCTCGCGGTAAAGTGCGAGCAGAGGCACCGCGACGGTGACGCCGCCGCCGCCGCCGCCGCCGCGAGATTCGCCGAGCCGTCGCGATGCACGATACTGTAGCCCCGCCGCCGCTGCGGTCGGACGCCAGATGGCGCCACGCTGCACGAGGTCGCTCCTGGTGAACGCTAGGCGGCGCTGCGTTGCATGAAGTCGTAGTGTCGCTGTCACCTTCGACGAACACTAGGTGGCGCTACATTGCATGAGGTCGTGGCATTGTATCACCTCCGAAGAACACTAAATGGCGCCACGCTGATCCAGGTCGTAGCGTCGCTGTCGCATCGCTGTTACCGTGGACGAACTCTAGGTGGCGCCACGTTGTACGAGGTCGTGCGTCGCAGTCACTTCTGATGTACACTAGGTGGCGCCACGCCACATGGGAGAGCGACGGCCGCGAGTGGCGCACGAGGAGTCGGCCGACCTGAAGGTCACGATTAGTCGTGAAGGTCAAATTTCGCCGCGAAGGTCGAGAGCAACTGCTGCTGTATTTATGTGGTATTGTGTTAGCTGAATATCGGTACGTGGTCGAGTAGAGAATGTATACGCGGGCCGTGCCGGCTAGGGATAGTGAGAAATACAAGGATGTTTTCTACGCTGGAAAGTGTACATGTATCTGCAAGTGTTCTCTCTTACCTTTCATCATTCTAGATAGATACTAGTCAATGTTTTGCTGGCGAGTACAAATCTCGACTGATTAATTCCGCGTGCCACGATAACGAACCGACAGACATCAGAGAAGAACAACCGATAACTAGACGTTTACTTTTTACGACACTTTTATTTTTAAACAGTATATATCGCAACGATTTTGTACTAACGCTACACACGGGTTACACGCGTTGGAATGTTCTAGAGATTTCTACCGCGGTCGTGACGACTTTAAACAATATAGATGCTGGCCGCCGCACGATAGCACTATACCAATTATCACATCGTTAGTGTCGGTCCTTTACGACTCGTTAATAGCAGCAGCAATACGTCGAGGAAGACAACTACTATCGTCTGCACACACACTCCGTGTAGATTTCAGCCGCCTGCCGAGGTTGTTTTCGACTTTATCAAACAATAGGTGGCACCACGAGGATGGGGATGTCACTGATTTCTATATAGCACGTTCGATTTGCTTCCCCAGAGCCACCTGGGTTAACCTGGGTAAGAAATCGAACGCATCTGGGTTAGGGAAGATAAACGAACGGTTTTAGGGTTAACCCGGGTTAATTATCATCATGGATGCCAGTGACAAGAAAAAAAGAATAGCAATTGCAATCTTATTATTAATGAAATCTAAGAATGAGCAAACACACGCAGTCATCGACAGTCATGCTTCATTACTGCTGGAAGATTTTTGATTTTTGAAGATTTCGTTTAAATGAATTGTGGGATACTTCCCCAAGTGAGCGGCTTGGCTAGCGGGTTACTTCGGCCTCACCCGGGTAACGCAAAAATACCACGTGACTGCCAAATCGAACGTATTTGGGGCTGGCCCGAGTAGACCCAGGTTAACTTGGGGAAGCAAATCGAATGCACTAATATGCTAACTGGATAGCTCTTAGTGGCCACGCTGGACGCCATGACACCACTCCTAGTAAGAAAATATTATCATAGGCCAATAGGCTGAGCGTGACATCACTCGTGACATCACGGCCTTTACCTCTATGTAGAGACTATCCTACCGTTTGCCTCTTTCTCTCTCTGTATACTATATATATATATATATATATATATATATATATATACATATACTAATTCTGTCATGTATTGATCAAAATTTGTTTCCATGCTATTGAGAATGATAAAATAAACTGCATTTTCGTCATTTTCCAAATCGAAATGTTATGGCACGCACACCGGTAGAGCTCAGCTTTTGGGAGTGGTTGCAAGATGGCGGCCAGTGGCGCTGTGGCATCACTTTCTCACCAACCGTGGATTGGCAAACGACTATCCAGTCGGTATATAGAGATCAGTGGCCGATATGCAAGCGTTTTACAAGCGACAGTGCTTCACCCTATGTTTGTGTCTAGTAACTTTACCAAATCAGACGGCTGCAATCGTACAGGACACGGAGAACATGGAGATTTTCTCACTCGATGCGTCGCCGATAGCAGTGATCAACACTCTGCCGGACAGACAGTCACATTCACCACTTCATTACAACTCTCGCATCTATAGACTATACACGAACCTGTAACAATGAAAAACAACATCCATATATACAGAGAGAGAGGAGAGAGAGAGAGAGAGAGAGAGGTGAGACAAAGTGAGAGAGAGAGAGAGAGAGAAAGAGAGAGAGAGAGAGAAAGAGAGAGAGAGAGAAGGAGAGAGAAAGGAGAGAGAGAGAGCGAGTAAGAGAGAAAAGAGTGAGGTCTACGCTACATTAACGTGGAACTTAAAGCACTTAGCCGGCGGCTGATCGGGCAAGCCTAACAACATATGCGAGTGTCAAAGTCTAGGGCATCCAGAAGGGGGCGCTAGAGTCATAATTCCGCCATGTTGGAACGGCTCTCTCGGCTGGTCAATGACTCAATATTAGAACGAGGTCTATAGCACCATGTTTATTCTCCAATCTTAGTGTACTGTACATAGATTGGTACGACGGCACCTACCATTTTAAAAAGAAGGAAGCGATGAGAGAGACAGAGCGAGAGAGAGATAGAGAGAGAGAGAGAGAGAGAGAGAGACTGAGAGAAGAGAAAGAGAGGGAGATATAGAAAGCGAAGAGAGAGAGCGAGAGACAGAGAAAGAGAGAGAGAGAGAGAGCGAGAGACAGACAGACAGAGAAAGAGAGAGAGAGAGAGAGAGCAATAGACAGACAGACAGACAGAGAAAGGGAGAGAGAGAGAGAGAGACAGACAGACAGACAGAGAAA